AAAAATAGTCTTATCATACAATTTTTTTTGTCTTTCATTTTTTTATTTTATTTATTTTATTTTTTTTTTGGGTAGATCAACGGGAAATGGACCCTTTATTTATAATAAAAATAAAATTCAAAATATCATAATGTGACACCCACCACCCTAACTACCTATGAGAATATATACTGGTATTAGAAACTAACTGAATTATTCCATTGCACAGTCTATCACAGTGCTGCGCAAATATGTGTTTTGAGTATAGGTATGCTCTTGGGCCCAATAAGCCTCCCACAAGCTTTATTTTCCTCAGTGAAAAACAGCGAGAAATGCTATCCCAACGTAGCCCATATGAGGTAACTTCTTTTTGCTATTTATATGCATTATTTACTAACCATTAAAAACCCAACTCATTATTTATGTTTCTTTTCTTCGAGTTAAAAAAATTTATTTAGGAGTGAACACGGTTTCTATGCAGCCAGCCCGTATATTGTAGAAATGCGGGTTTGGCAATAAATATATTTTTTAAATATAATTTGATCCTAATTTTTATATAATATATAATCTTTAATATGAAGATCATGAAGATGAAAAAAAATTTTGAAAACTAGAAATAATAATTATATTAAAAAAACATTTGGACCATTACTTACAATTATTTTTAGATGGACCACCTATTTGCATCCATCTTTAACATGGAGCTTTATACCTCTGGACCGCATATTGTAGATATGCGGGTCCAGCCCGCATGAAACAATTTTCTTTTATGAATTAGTGTTAAGAATAGGTCTACTTTCCAATTTATTCTATATATTTGTGCCTTTTGTTTTAAATTCGTGAATGGAGATTGGAGATGATATTTTTTTCTCTAAATATTTTTAGATTCTACACAAAGATGAGGTAATGCCAAGAAGCAAAATCATTTTCTATGTTTTTTGTTAAGGTGGAACTTAGATCTATGGTATATGACAATTAAAACTTTATGCATTTTTTTTAGAGAATTGGTGGGAATTGAAGAGCATTGGAACAGACCAATTGCCCACACCCCTATTTTCTTTTTGTTAATTGTTTATGTTTTTTCTTTCTAGCTTATGGAATGGTAATATCTTGAAAAGTACGTTTTGTCTTTGTTTTTATAGAGAGCAGTGCTTTAAGACCTTGTGATATCCGATCCAGCTCATTGATTCAGATGTGAAATCGGTAGCTACCGAACATATTCTAGGATAGTATTGGTCCCAACCTAGTTTCCTCCTAAGATCCCCCTTTTCGTTTTATTTTATTTTATTTTTAAGTTTATCTAATGTTTTACTTAGTCCCTCCTAAATCCCCACCCCATAAATATTTCTTTAATTTTTATTTTATTTTATATTTTAAATTTTTTTCTAGATTACCAATCTGGACGATCCGAGAATGATCCGAATTACCGATTTAGCCGATCCAGATAGAGATTGAGGATGAACAATCAACCCGACCGTTCCGCTATTTAAAACATTGGTAGAGAGAGTAGTGGGTTTCTAGTCCTACACTGGATAGTGGAGAAATGAAAGCCATGCTTAAACATCAGAATTCCATTTTTCATTATGTTCTAAGAACCAAGGAAAAAACATAACATTTTATATTTTTAAGAATCATCGATCTGACTAGGAACCGGAACAGTGTCTAATGAATTGTTATCTAAATTAGCGATTTTTCAAACATTATTAGAAATACAAAATGCACCTATTCACCTCATCTTTCTTTAGGACTTTAAGACATTTTAACTATGGAGTTTGCGAGGTTTCATAGGACTCAACCTTGGCTTCCATGCTCTTGAGGTGGGCGCCATTCCATTGCAGATTCAGGCTTTGAAGGAGAAATTGAAAAAGTGAGCACTGTTTATATAAAGACTAACAAGGATAACGTGGTAAGCCCTGAGCTGCATGAAGAGATAATTGGGTTCTTGTCTCCTAAGGAAGTGATGGAAGTTGACTCTGACCACAGCCCATTTTTCTCCAAGCCCAATGAGTTGTTTGCCTTATTGGTCAAGGCCTCAGCCACATATTGCGGTGAAGATCATTGATGAGGGTCAAGAGATAGAAGTTGGGTGATCATTTTAGTGGAACCATTACAGGGGAAGTAAGAAGGTCCGTCCATATGTATAGGGGTCGTAATGGACCCAACTAGACCCAGGATCCGGCGGGTCGGTTGTGGGTCCAAAATCTAGACCCAAATATTATTCGGGCTTGGGTCCAGTCCAGCCGGACCCAACCCTACCCGACCGGAATAATATGGATATATGTTATGTAGGTATTTACAAATGTTGCCAATACGTTTGTTTCTTAGGAATTTCCTGTTATTACGTAAAACAATATGAAGTGTGGGTGTATGTGAATATCAATAAATGTTATGCAATACTATAAATGTTGTCAATAATATGGGTATATGATGACAAAATAATGGCAAAAAAAAAAAAAAACTCATGGTCATAGGGTGGCAATGGACATGACTAGAACCCGAACCCGATGTGTCTGAGTATGGGTCCAAATTTTGAGCCCATAAAGTCGGCGCCGGGTCCAAAACCTTGACCCGAATACTCTTCGGGTCTAGGTCCATCCGGACCCGACCTATTCCCACCCCTGGATGTGTATGGTCAGTATTCCATTTGGTTTTAATTCCCTTACTTCCTCATGTATGCTTGTTTTGTTTGTGTTTGGGAAATCAAATTATACGCATCTCTCCTATTAAATTTGAGAGAAAGTGCTCCTTACCCTGCGTAATATGGTTTGATGAACGTGCCCTGTTTTATAGAACCCAAACAACAACTTTTGAAAAATACGCAACTTTCAATAGTGGAAGGTTGTAAGAATTAAAGACCCAAAAGGAAATAAAGAAGGTTGTGAGGATTCTGCCTTCCTAAGTCATAGCACATTAGACTCGACCATAAATAATAGCACATTAGGCTCTGACCATAGTATGGGATTCACAACAATGCATCATTTATCTCGTACATGAGGGTTATAATCATTTCTACTCATTAGAGGTCAAATTGGAATGGTTGTGGTGAGTCACGAAATCGGAGAAATTATTTTTAGAACTTTGTGTCTATTCATCGACACTTTTATAATCACCCATTTTAAATGTCAAATTGGATGGCTTGGAGTAAGTCTGCGATTTTTTTTTTTTGTTGAACTTTCTGTCTATTCAATGATACTTTTACATGAGTCATTTTGAAATTTTGAGACAAGAATGATTGTGACCTCCATATACAAAATATAAATGGTCACTTTATAGATAATCCCTGATGATATAAGTGGTGGATATAAAAAAAAAAGCTAAGTTAACTTGTTTTGGCTTTTTTAGAACATACTTTCATGTTTCAAACCTTTGACTTCCCTTGCCCAAAGATATTTGTCACCGTCTTAAAGCCTATGAGACAAAATTAAGCTAGATAAACATGTTTGAACCTTTTAGAACAAGTTTTGAAGGTTTGAATCATTGATCTCTATTACCCAAACTAATACATCCATGAATCTATACATCTTGAAGTCGAGATGATCAATTGTAAGGTTCTTTGACATCAAAAGAATACTTTCGAATGGATTTTTGAGGTGCATCATACTTCTAAAGTATGAGGTTGACACCTTATATAAACTTTTCTTTTTTCTATTCATTGGGTAAAGACTTAGTAGTTTCTCGATCTAGAACTTTAAGATCCACTGTAGAATTACGAATTGAGTAATTCCGAAGGAAAGAAAGAAAAATAAAAAGAGAACTAGATTTTGAGTTCCTAATCAATTAGAGCTGACCAACTAAGAATTAAACAGTCTCCATATGATGCAGTTTTTTCAACTTTGAAATTGGTAGTTCTTGAGCAGGTCACATCCCTAAAATTAGGGGTCCTAGAAATACTGCTAGTGTTTTATTTAGGCCTTCAAATATGGACTTTTTATGCACTTTATCCCAGCCTAACTTTTCTTAGCATATTTTTCCCCCAATACAAAAAGTTCATTTTTTTTGACGAAAATACCATTCCCGTACATAATAAATCATTTTTGGATCCCAATAAAAAGAAACGTTGGACCGCATTTGTACAACGCCGAATTGCTCACTTCAAAACGCTGGACCGCCATTTAAAACGCCGAACTGCCACTTCAAAACGCTGGATTGCCCCTTCAAAATTTCGGAGTGCTATTTCAAAATGCTGGACTGCCCATTTCTCTAATAGCACAATCCCCGGACGGCCACAATGAAACGTTGGACAGCCCTTTCCAGCAAAATAATCGTCGGACTGCCCTCTCCAATGAAAATGATTTGTTATATAAAAAAAAGGTATTTTCATTAAAAAAAATGAACTTTTTCTATTGGGGGCATTTGTTAAAAAACATGATTTAGGGGGGGAAGGAGTTGCTAGGTTGGGGTAAAATGATTAAAAAATTCATATTTGAGAGTTTTAAGCGATTTTCCTTTTTACTTACAAAAAAGAGATGTACAAAATCTTTTAACTTCAAAGGTGTGGTTTATATAAGACTGAGGTCCTAGACAATCAAAGTATGGCGCACTTTTAAATAGTGCCAAAAGAAACATTGTTTCAACTTCAAAATTCTTCATGATGACTTAAAATTTTATTTTCAAATTTTATTTTATTTTTGCAATATCCTCGTGGTTTGACTAACTTTGTTTGGAAGTGCTAAATTAGTTGAAAACAATCACAAGGGCCCAAGGCAGAGAAAAAGTTGGACATTGGATAGCGAAAAAGGGCGCACAGTGAAAGTGATGGGCCGCCTTAGAGAGAGAAAATTTGAAAACTTCTAGAGAGAGAAATAGATAGTGAATAAAAAAATAAAAGTGCATTAGCATTACCATTACAAGTTAAAAGTTCAAGTCAAAGTATTACTTATTCCATTTCAATCCACTCCTCAACACTCAATGGATAGCATTTTGATACGTGTACTAATAAGAGCCGGAAAAAAAACAAAAAATAAATAAATAATTCGTCACAATTCTAATCAGTTGTGCTACTATCTTCCATTAAATAGATTGTATCTCCTCATCTCACTCATTATCACTAAATTGTGAAAATTACAAATCAAAATGAAGCAACTCAAGTTTCTATTCCTCTCCATTACTCTTTTTCTTTCCTTTTTTGCTTCCAATTTGCCTGAAATTTGTAGCCATAACATAGAGGAAAATCAGAGCAATAAACACTTTGTTCTAATTCATGGGGCCTGCCATGGAGCTTGGTGCTGGTACAAAATTGCTTCTCTGTTGAAGAATGCAGGTTACAAAGTCTCAGCTGTGGACCTTGCTAGTGCAGGTATAAATATGGGAGATGCAGACACCATTTTCACCTTTGAAGAGTACAACAAGCCTCTGGTCGATCTCATCTCGAAGATCCCGGAAAATCAAAAGGTGAGATTCAGAAAAAGAGAGAGAGAGAGAGAGAGGTGGGGTACTTTATTTAATGGGTGGGCTCTGCTCTTTGGATCTTGATGGGTGAATTCATGCAATTAGACACTCTCTCATAAATTATAAGTTAACTCTCTCTCTCACTCATATTAATTCATGCAACTAGTACGACTATCTCTCAAATGAATCCATCTCATTAATATCTCTCTCCTCTCTCTCAAATGACTCCGACTCCGGTAGGTGGCTCGCCTGGGCTAGGGGAGTCGATTTTTAGAACATTGATTTAACTCTCTGTCTCTCTATCTCTCATGCATTAATTCGAGCAATTAGAGTGCGTATTATTGCAGGTGATTTTGGTGGGGCATAGTGCTGGTGGGCTTAGTTTATCAAATGCTATTCGTGTTTGTGGGAAAAGGATAAGCCTCGTAATATATGTGGCTGCAAGGCCTGCCAACTTCGACCCCAAGGTAAACGCATACAATGTGCTACTACTTGGCTTTCCAACAATTCTCTAGGCCGTCCACGTTGACCCCGACTAGGGTTCGGAAACCAGGGGTGTTAATGGGCTGGGTCGGATCCAAGTTGACCCAGACTAGGGTTGGGAAATATTTTGGGTTGACCTGATGGGGTCCGGGTCTAGACCCAAACAATACACTTGATGGTCGGGTTTGGGACCCGTGCCGGGTTTGAGTCTAACTTGGATCCTACCAGGTCAGGTTAGGGTCAACCCGACATGGTATTCATATTATTAAGTACATAGAGATTATATGATCATATTTTTTTGATTTTTTTTTAAATTTCTAGACCAAGGACCTACCCCTACCTGCTGAATTGGGTTTGGGTTTGGGTCCGAGTCCGGATCTTGGGCGACCCGACCGGGTTCTTGCTTGACCCAGACCCGAAGTGGACCTGTAGCGGGTTCAAGTATTGACCAACCCATTGTCTCAAATCAAGTTTGGGTCATAAAAGAAAATTAAATTTTACTAATAAATATTTTATTCTATATAATAATATGGTATATATATATATATATATATATATATAATATCGGATCAAGTCGACCTTGATCCACATCCGACCAGACCGGTTAAAGTCTAAAATAGATCCAGATCGACACCAATCCAAGTCAATTTGGCCGAGACCTGGAACCGTGTCAAGTTGACCTACTAATTTGCAACCCTTGCCGGTGAATGTGCATTTAAGGAGAGAAACCGCTCCTAACCTTCCCTTACTAACATGGGGTGACTGGGGAGGTGTTAGTAAAGTATGAAAAACCCCAACATTTGCATAGATTAGCAAATCCCAATCGAGTTCCTTCCCTATAATTTTTCACTATATAATAAGAATCGATAATTTGGAATTTTCTCTTACAAAATAAATTGGAAGCACAATAATAACTCATTTTTAAAATATAATGGTTTTACCTTGATATTTAAGAATATTCACATATCTCATATGATGGACTTTACACCAGAAATAACAATTGCATTATTTTATTTATAATTTTTAGGAATTATGGATTTGTATTTTGTAATAAATGTAATGGGTGGTTTCTAAAAAAGAAAATCAAATGTAACAAGTTTGCTATAAACCTCAAATTTTCAATGCCTTGTCAGAAAATACCACATGTCAATAAGTGAATTGTTGACATGAGCTTATCATCTAATCAATGTCATTTACCTTCTATACAAGGACACAACTATCAGATAGGTAATTGAGGAGATGGGGATGTGTAACAAAGGTGTGTCACTTTTTTTAGCAAAGTTTTGGGATTTTTTTTTCTCGAAATTTGAGCATGATTAATGGTATACACTGGATGCCTGATTTCACATAAAAAGACTAGGGGTGGTTGTGACAAAATTTTTTTTTTTCTTTTTTTTTTTTTTTAACCGATGTTAACTAATTTTATTAATAACGAAGTGGTTACAACTGCATAACTACACAATTACATTGTCAGAGGCTCGAATATCTAGGCAATGTCACCCCAATTCGAGCCAAAGAATCCACCAATGTAGTTGCATCGATAAAGATGGGTAAAGGAGATGGAAGTAGATTCAACTAAATCCAAAATTTGCAACCATAAAGATTTCAACACCCATGAGACTCTTTGTTTTTTGTTGCACCATTGAATCACATTCAACGAGTCTCCTTCAACTATCAAAGCATTACCTAGGATCTTCACAATGAAAAATTTTAGCCCATAGAATAGGGCAGAAAAACAACACAATTTGCAGTGGCTTCTCCAATAGGACCCGCATAGGAGAAGATCACTCCCCCAATCCAATCTCTCACCCCAGGGTTACTCAAAGATCTACCATCAAAATTCAGCTTGAATCCCAGAAGAGGTTGATACCACACAGCTCTTGGCTTGCATGGGATGGAGTTCATCCTATAAAGATTCTCCATATTCAATAATACGTCATTCTCCGTAATGCCCCAACTTTCTTTAGTAACTGATAACCAGCACCATATGAAATGCTTAATCGTACTCAAAATTCTATGAAAAATAAAGAAACCCCATCAAATGTCTTCTTATTTCTCTCTTTCCATACTTCCCATAAGATCACTGCTCTAATGATTTGCCATATCACCCTACCAGCCTTAGGTAGATGTGGAAAGGCTAAATCAGTGGCCACACCCAGAACACTCTGCGGCATAGCCACAGACACCCCAAGCTGAATGAAGAACCAAGACCAAACCCTAGTAACAAAAGGACAATGTAAAAATAAGTGGGCACCTGATTCCCCATCCTCCTTACACATGAAGCATACATTTGGTAAACATTTATCCCTTTTAATAAGATTGCGCACAGTGAGGATCTTATTTTGAGCCGGCAGCCACAAAAAAGCTTGAACTTTACGAGGGACATGCCACTTCCAAAAAGTAGCCACTTGTGGTAAAGACCATCACATTCTATCATGGAACAACACATGAATGACAGATTTGACAAAAAATAGACCCAAAGGCTCTAGCTCCCACACAACATCATCCTCCACCATATTTCTATGAATAAAGACCTTATGTATTTCCTCCATGAGCAAAAGGAAACTACCAAAAACAGTCTCATTGACTCTATTATAGGGTAGATTAATATTCCACACAATCTGGCTTCCTCTAATTTCAAAAACCTCTAAAACCTTCGCATTAGGCTGCAGCATCTTATCAAAGACCTCAAGAAATGAGAATTTCAAAGGACAGTCCCCCATCCATCTGTGGTGTCAAAAAGAAATTTGATTGCCATCCCCAATGGTTCATATCAGGTTACTTTGAATCAATGGTTTGCAAAGGAAGATGTCTCTCCAAAAAACCAAGCGGCTCATCCTGCCATTACCACCTCCAATCCACATCCCATGTCTATCCATACCATATTTCTGAGATAGCACTTGAAACCAAAGTCGATCTCTTGCAATAAAACCCTGCCACCACCATGTGCAAAGAAGTGCATCATTAACAAACTCAACCTTTCTAATGCCCAAACCACCTTCACAATTGGGAATACAAACTCGATCCCATCGGAGAAGGTGGTATTTTCTCTACAGTCGAGCCCCAAAGGAAATCTCTCATCAATTTTGGTGGTTGTGACATCTTGTACTAAGGGCTTGTTTGTGATACTCATTAATGTTGATTGTTCAATGTCTCAATTAAATTAATCTTGATAAGAAATTGGTTGTTGTTCGATAGTGTCCCTTGTAATTTCTATGAGACAAATATATAAACAGTTTTACATATAAGTTTATTTTTATTAAAAATTATCTTCATTTTATTCAAACTAATTCCCAAAAATCACATGTTTTTAGCCAAGAGTAACTAAAAATAGCTGAAAATTACCAAAATTGTTAAATAATCAAATAAAGTTATATATAATACAAGGCATGTACTGCACAGCTAACAAAATAGTAGTATGCCATATCAATTCTATGTAAGATAGTCTATTCCTGGTAAGACTAACTATCATCCAAGCACAACCTAAAGGTAAATTGTCTTATATAATACTTTCCATTTTCTTTTGAGCTCTTTTTTTTTGTCTTTCATATCAGTGGGGAAGGGATCCCCTACCCATAATAGGAATAAAATTCAAGATGTTATGTTATGGCGCTCACCATCCTGATTACTCATTAGGCTATATAATTTTACTAAAACTAACTCAATTATTCCATTTAACAGTCGATCACAGTGCTGCGCAAAGATTTGTTTCACTATTGGTATGCTCTTGGGCCCAATAAGCCTCCCACAAGCGTTATTTTCCGCAGTGAAAAGCAGCGAGAAATGCTATCCCAACTTAGTCCATATGAGGTAATCCTTAAATGCCAAATTTCTTTTTGCTATTTATATGCATTATTCAGTAACCATGAAAGCCCAAACCCATTATTTTGTTTTTCTATTTCTATTGTTCTAGTTAAAAAGCTTGATTATGAATTGCTTTTACTATTAAGAATAGGTCCACTCTTCAATTTTTTTATTTATTTGTGTCATTTATTTCAAGTTTGTGAATGGAGATTGGAAATTTTATTTTTTCTCTAATTATATTTTAAGAATCATCAATCCTACTAGGAATTGGCATGTCCAATGAATTACTATCTAAATCAGTGATTTTTCGAACATTATTCAAATGTTTGTTTTTCTCTCATTATATTTTAAGAATCATCGATCCTACTAGGAATCGACATAGTGTTCAATGAATTACTATCTAAATCAGTGATTTTTCAAACATTATTCGAAATACAAAACGTACATACTCATCTCGTCTTTCTGTAGGACTTAGACATTGTAACTATGGGGTTTGTGGGGTTTCACAGGACTCAATCTTGGCTTCCATGCTCTTGAGGAGGGCGCCATTCAGGGCATTTGCAGATTCAGGTTTTGAAGGACAAATTGAAAAAGTGAGTACTGTCTATATAAAGACTAAAAAGGATACGGTGGTTAGTCTTGAGCTCCAAGAACAGATAATCAGGTTCCTGTCTCCTGATGAGGTGATGGATGTTGACTCTGACCATAGCCCATTTTTCTCCAAGCCCAATGAGTTGTTTGCCTTACTGGTCAAGGCCTCAGCTACATATTGTGGTGAAGATCAGTGATGAGGGCCAAGAGATAAATTGAGGTGATCATTTTAGTGAAAGCACTACAGTGGAAATAAGGAGATCCATATTTATAATCATTATTCCACTTGGTTTTAAGTCTATTACTTCCTCATGTATGCATGTCTTTTTTGTGTTTGGGAGATCAAACTATATGCATCTCTCGTAGTAAATTTGAGAGAAGTGCTCCTTACCCTGCAGTAATAGAATTTGATAAATATGTCATGTTTTATATAACCTAAACAATAACTTTTGAAAAATACTCAACTTTCAATAGTGGAAGGCCGTAAGGATTAACTACCCAAAAGGAAATAAAGAAGGTTCTCTTTTTTGACAAATAAAAGTGGTATGTCAGTGGGGATTTGGGGTGGTGAGAAGGTTCTCCATTACCCAAACTGATATATCGACCGATCCATATATCTTGAGGTCAAGATGATGAATTGTAAGGTCCTTTTGAAGAATAACCTTTTCGAGTGATTTGTGAGGTGTATCTTACTTCTAAAGAAAGACGTTGACATCTTATATAAACTTTTTTTCATATAAATCCATTGGGTAAATACTTAGTAGTTTCTCGATCTCGAATTCTAAGATCCACTATAGAATTGCTAATTGAGTAATTCTAAGAAAAATAGGAAGAAAGACAAGAGAATTAGATTTTGAGTTCCTAAACAACAGCTGACCAACTAAGACTCAAACAGGCTACATATGATGCACTTTTTCCAACCTCATAAAGATGTATGTATTTTTTTCTTCTTTGAAGTTCACCATTGTTGAGCAGTTTAAATCCCTAAAATAAGGGGTCCTAGAAATATTCCTAGGGTTTTTTTTACACGACGGAGATGTACTTGTCGGAGCATAAAATCTTTTGACTTCAATAAATGAAGGGTGTGGTTTGTATAAAACGAAAGGCGGACCTTTAAATAGTGCCGAAAGATGTTGTTTTAGTATCATAAATCTCTCTGATGGTTTAAAATTTTACTTTCATATTTAATTATAAAATTTAAAAATTCAAATATAGTGTAGATCGAACAAATCTATGAACACTCGACAATCTTGAAAATTGACGCTAGATAATACATTACAAGATGTGCTATTCCCAAGACTTGAAATATATGTTTTTTCATGTCCATACATCTTGAGGTCGAGATGATCAAAATGAGGATTTTTAAGCTTCGAAATAACCTCTTCTAGTGAATTTTTTAGGTGCGCCTTATTTTGATTTTCTCACGCAAAACATTTGTGAGGCCTATCTACTTCCTATTTTTCTATCCACTCTTTAATGTGGCAAATTTTGAAATTTTGTCCATAACTCTCTCGAAGGAAAATTTTGAAATGGTGAGAAATATATGTGTGATCATAGGACTAATTTTAATCTTGGTCCTAGAACTAAAATATCTAGTTAACCAAATTTGTGGCCTAAAATTTCTTAGAAGTCGATTGGATTCTAGAGGGAAAAAAAAGAAGAAGAGTAGCTCCATTATGATTTGAAAACGATGTTTCAAAATTTGTTGATCCAGATCCATAATTTTTTGGGATCAAGTCAGTTCCTAAAATGTATCAAAACCGGTATAATACTACCTTATAAACACCTTTTTATTAACTTTTTTTCTTTTTTCGACCTTGTTTAGGATTCTTCAAAATTGAATCAATCAACCTTAAAACATCTTTCCATCTTTTTTATTATTATTGTTCTTTTATCAGTTCTTTTTTGGGGTTTCCTATTCTGACTGGATCAGGATAGGCAATTAAAATTACAGAATCAAGAACTCCATCAAAATGAACGACCCATTTTCCAAGTTTTCAAATTTTTATCCTCTCTTTTCACTCATTATCACAAACTATTCATAATATTTTGCAATACAAGATAATCATTCAATTTGGGTTGGCGTGTTTGGTTGCACTAAAGCGTATCATGGCAATAGCCCAAGAGCGCATATACCATGCTCCTGCAGGAGCATGCTATGTGCTTACTCCCTCAGGCCGAAGACTAACCTAAAAAAAAATCTTAAATCAAAAAATTTCAAGAACCGCCTAAAAATCACTTAATGATTATATTAAAAAATTATTATGAGCTTTTTTCAATGCTTAGATTTCATCGTTTAAAAAATAAAAGGTCGATGTTCAATCTTAAGAATTTTTCTTTTAAGCCAAAAAAAATATAATTTGAAATTTTTTAAGGATGCAATTTCTATAGGGCTTTCTATGTAACTCCACCCATATATATAATTTATGTGACCCTTACTCTCAGCCATCATATCTAAGTAGATGGCTAAGATGGCTTGAGTCACAATGTCATAAATTGGCTTTTAACCATCTGATCTTGATTGGACGGCTCATAGTTTTTAATTTTTTATTTTTATTCTATAAATATTTGTAAAGCAAAATTTGGGGCATGCATAGATCTGACAGGGGCGCACACGATAGAGATAATAATAAAATATTTTCGGTGATGTAAAATTATCAAAATACCCCTAAAAATTACAGGGACATTTTGGTTATTTATTTTTACAGAAAACATTATTTTTATTTTTTCCATAATCACCCTAATTTTATGAGTGGATGCCCAAAATTGCATTCAAAAATATTTTGTAGAAAAAATGAACAATAAAACAATGTTTGGCTTGACATTGGGGTTGAACAATTTGTAGCCGTTCAATCTAAATCGAACGGCTAAGAAGTGGGATCACATACAACTTATATGTTGTTGGGGCCACATAGAAACATTTCCCATTTCTGTAAGGCCTAGGCTTTATAAAAACAAAATAAAGCCTCTCTCTCTCTCAACCCCGTAGTTAGCAAATCAGGAAATAATAAAATATCAGCAAACGAAAACCTCGGTAATAAATTTGTTTTATTTCAAAAAGTATGAGAAAAAAATCAGTAAAAATACATATTGCCAAAAGAAAAGGTAAGTTATAAGATCATGAATATTCCAAATTTGATTAAAAAAAAGTAGTGAAAACATCGAATATGTAAATATGACATAATTTAGGATTATGATTTGCAGCTATTGTGTAGATACATTATAGCCATGGAATAATAATCATATAGCCTTACCTAGTATCATTATAGTAATACTTACAATTTTTTGTTGAAACTTTTAATAAATCCAGCAACAATATTTATTATGTTGTCAAAGTACAAAATATATTGTAGATTTGTTCATAGCATAAAATGAAACAACAACAACAATACTAAACAAAAGAACTAATTAGTAAATAACAATAACTATAATTAAGGTATACAATTATTTTTAAAATAAAAAAAAAAAATGCTCTCATTTTAGGATTGGAGTTAATTAAAATAAAACATAAAGATCCAAACATGTAAAATAGTGGTCCATTCAAAATGTTATATTATATACATAAATAAAATAAAAAATAAAAATAAAAATACGAAATTAATCAAACTTCTTTATGCATAGAGAAAGCAACAAAATTCTTAAGCAAATTTGAATCTCGCATTGAATTCCTAGCTGTCTAAATCTTTAGTATCATTGAATATCTCTCTTGCTCTTTATAAGATTGCTATGGGTTTAAATTTTAAAAAAAAAACAAAGATTTTTCATTGGTTTATTCTTCTAACTCTACCTATTATTTTGAGATATACAATTGTTTTAATATCTTTTTTAAAAAAATATATATTGCTTGTATTTTTCCATACACATTTTTGAAAATTTTGATGGAATCTTTTTGTTAAACCAAATTCTTAATTTACTCCCATTGTTAATGCGCTTATTTAAACTAAAATTTAATATGTGAATTTAGTGAAGAAATTTATAGAGAAGACGTTTTTTTTAAAAGTTTTTTTGAAAAAAAATACATACATATATTTATATTGGTTCTATTATGGTTTGTTTGTTGCTCTGAAAGTATTATTTTTGAAAGTACGGATTTTGAAAAGTTCCGCGTTTGTTTCAAAATTTCCATGAAAAGTTTAGAAGCTAATATTTCAACAAAAGTTCCTACTCCTTTGTTAAAAAGTAAAAGATTAAGTTTCTAAAAGTAGGAACTTAATTTTTGAAAACTTTGTTGTTGATCACTATTCACTATGCTTAATATAAATACATAATATTACTAATATTAATATAATATAATATTACTATAATATATATGTTATATAATACTATAATATTATACTATATATAATATAATAAATAATAATATAAATATTATATTCATAATATACAAATATCTTATATTATACTGTATATTATATATAATATATAAATATTTTATATTATATTATTTATAAATATTATATTATATAGGAGAATGATTTCATACAACGATTGTATAACAATACAATACAACCATTTTAAAAAACTATCTTAGAGACATTTGTTTGACACGAATTTTTAAATATACACTCTTTTCATTCTAAAGAACAATCACAAAAAAAAAAAAAAATTAAAAAAATGGTTTAAAAAGTTTTCATTCTAGCCCAATTAATATAAGCTGTCAATTTTATTGAGATGGTTAGATATAGGCTCAGAAGCAATTTTTATTCCCAAAGTTTTTATATTGCGTTATCATCACTAGATTAATAATGCTAAAACAGAAAAGATTAATAATGCTAAAAAAGAAGAAAATGTTTTTGAATTTGTTAAGGCCTAAATCTTGAAATTCACCAAATGGATGGTCGAGATTCATTATTGGATGAATACTAATTTTGACCATATATAAGGTACAAATTGAATTTTTTTATAAGATTTGATTATAAAGATGAAGAAAATGTATGTGCAAAATTTAGAGTCATACAAATGTCAAAAATATAGTTTTCTGGATGTACAAATGTCAAAAATATAGTTTTCTATCATACTAACAAACGCGCTCTTAAGTAAGCGTGATTTTTTTAAAATCTTTAAAAAACTCGAAATCGTGAAGAGATTTAAAAATTCGGAGATTTAAAGAAAAATCGTGTTTCGACAATGACCTGCTGTGCCCCCACCACCTCTCTCTCTCTACGAAAACAAAAAAAAGCCCCTCGTTCTCTCTAGGCCCCTCCATCTCTCTCTCTACCGAAACCCTCTCTTTGCTAATCGAGCCCCTCTGCAACGCCGAGTTCCCCACCGTTCAAGACATTTCAGGTACTTCCCATGATTCTACTTTCCATTTCAATGTTCTTCTTTCATTACTCTCTCTCGATTCAAACTGCCCTATACAGGGGAAAGGGAGGGCATCCTTTTTTTTTGGGTTAGAGAGAGAGAGAGAGAGATAGAGGAAGGGACAGCGTCCTCTGTTTCTGATTAGAGAAAGATATATATTACTATTCTCCATTTTTTATTATTAATCTCTGTCTTCTTCGTTGTTCATTATTAATCTCCATTTTTATTAATCTTCCTCGTTATTTATTACTCTACATTTTCCTTTGTTACTTCCAAATTTAATTTCAGAGCTATGATTTTTTTTTTTGTATAATATCAGAAATAATGCTGTTATTTTTGTGAATGAAATATATGTAAGGGATTACATCAGAGATTATACTCTGATTTTTGTGATCATTACTTTGTTGGTTGATTCTTGTGAATGAGATGTAATATTTTGGAGAGTGAGCTCTGTGATTCCTATCACGTGCTTGTGGATATGGCCGAGTGATCATTTGGTGCTCCGTGTGTTATTGTTTTTTATTGGGTGATGTCTTGTTTTTATTGAATCATGTATTGGTGCTTCATTAAGTAATTTGTTAGTATGATTGATCTGCCAATAGTTTGTGAATATTTATGCAATTTGTTAGTGTGATTGATCTTCCAATAGTTTGTGAATATTTATGAATGATCACTTGATCTATCAAGTGCTTATCCTTGCTAATGTCTTTGATTTTTGAACTCATGTTTGATGTACTTTGCATTCAATTCCTATGTGAGATTTACCAGATGCCTTTTTCCTTTGACATTATTTTAGAATTACTATTTTGTGAAGGGTGTGTTTGCATAAGGTTGCAACCTTAAACAACTACTAAATTTTATCATAAGATGTAATTTTGGTGTAAAAATTCTTAGGATGACCTTAGAATCCACTTTCATCTCTAATTATAAAATTTTAGACTCCAAAGATGGTTCAAATCAGGTAGATCTATAAATACATGAAATTGTTGAAAATAGACAGGCTAGATAATATGTTGCAAGATGCGCTATTTTTGGGACTCAATTTTTTTCTTTTTTTTAAGTGTTTCAAAAAGTGCTAGGCGTGTCTTAGGAGGCCTGGGGTCCAGGCCGCCCAGCGCCTAGGCGGGCACCCAGAATCTGAGCGGCCCAGTCGAATCCAAAAAGGTTTCCCATGGATATATGGTATAAAAAATAAAAATTAGGTATTTAGGGCACTTACTTTGAGTTTGATTGCTCAATCTTCAAACTTCCACTTCAAAATATTTATAAGGACTCAAAATATTCTAAAAAACGCCCCAATAGATTATAAAACATCAAAAATTAAATCTAATATCAATGGGTGATGTTTTGATCAATTTTTGTCAACTTTGAGAAACCCTTCTAACCTATAGAATCACCAAAAACTAGTTTTTTGGAGGCCTTGTCTCTTGCGTTCCAATAAGTTATAGGTTTTAAATGAACTTAAAACCATCATTCTAACCCTTTATATTTTTTTAAAAAATCAATACAAAAAAAAAAAAAAAAATTCCGCCTCTAGGTGGGGCGCAAGCCCTGGGCGGCCGTCCTGGGCTGGGCGCCCGCCTAGGCGGGTTCTGTGCGGCCTAGGCAGTCGCTCAGATTGGCCGCCTACTCAGCGCGGGGCGGTCCGCTTTTTGAATCATTATTTTTTTTTCATATTCATACATCTTGATGTCAAGATGATCAATTAGAGGGTTTTCTAATTTCAAAAGAGCCTTTTACAATGGATTTTTAGATGCTCCTTAATTCTATGTTATAAGGTTATAATGTTACAACCTTACATAAACTTTTTTCCTTTTGTGAATGACCAAGACTACTCATTATTTACAACAAATAGTTTCATCAAAGGGGGAGAGGGAGAAAACTTTTAACAAATTTATGATCTTAACCATCCATTGTGTAAGTAATGCCATGGATAGGGTATAACTAAAAAAATCTCAATCAAAAGATAAGTTTTTGCCCCTTAAAAATGAGTTTCATAATTAACAAGTAAAATAACAGCTTTCTAGGTTAGCAAAAAGGTGAAATCGCAAGCCGTAGATTTCCCCAGTTTTCATAGGCAAGTTACCGAACAAGGGTTCTCAGCTTCCAACAACCAGTTTTCTACTTTTACCTTCTTCTCAAGTTCCCAGTTTCTCAGAGATTCTTTAGGAAAAATAGCTTTCTTAGTTACCAAACAGGCCCTTAATCTCCCTAAATCCCATAGCCAAATCCAACCCTAACTCTCACTCTCTCTCTCTCAGCCTCATAGCCTAATCGAACCTGAAGTCTCTCTCTTTCTCTCTATCGCTTTCCCCCTGGGAATCCTCCCCCCCTTCTCTCTCTCTCTCTCTCTCTGAGAAGAAAGTTTGGAAGAAGAAAGAAGCCTCCTACCTATCAGGTACTCTCTCTCTCTCTCTATGGTAAACGTAGCTTGTTGGCTTCTCTCTCACTTAAGTTAGAAGCTTAGGGTATTCCTTTTTTAAGCATTGAATGCCACTGGTACCCAATAATTTGATTGGAAGGAAGCTGCATCCAATTTCTCCATTTTATGTGCCTATAACTCAATCTATTGAAGTAATTAGATGATATCTTTCTCCCTGTAATGAGCAGTTCCTTTGCTGCTACTTAGCAATAAATTGTTTCTACAGTTTAATGTTTTAAAAATCTTTAGAAACCAAGTTAACCTTTCCTCAAAAAACAAAAGAAAAAATCTTTAGAAGCCCTATTTTCAGCTTCTCTTGGTTATCATTTATTTAGGTTTTTTTTAGAAAACCCAATTTAAGGTTTCCTTTTTATTGGAGTAATTTTGGGTTTTCTCCAGACTTTGACAACATGATTGTCTCAGAGATTGATTGGATTTGTTATTTAAACCAAATTGTTGTCTAATGAATTTTATTTTTTTAAGTATAGTGATTTTAATGGGACTTTTTAGACGGTAGATGTGATGAATTTTTATGTGATGAATAGTTGTCTAATGAATCCAATTCATTTATATGAGACTTTTTGGATGGTGCATGCCCCATTCCTTTTTGTTCTTTTGTTTTTATGTATTTTACAGGATTATGGGTTTCTCTTTCTCGTTTGCTCTTTAACGATTATAGTCATTTTGTATAGTATGGCATGCATTACAATGCTGACATCATAGAAGTCATGAACTTCAGTTTCCTTTTTCTTAAAAGAAAAAAAAAGATGTTATGCTTAATTCATGAGCTTGGAGTTACAATATCGAAATATTGTCTTTTTTTTCCTTTTTTCTGTTTTTGGTTTTTCCGGTTGCTCTCTATAGGATTTCACTATGAATCCCGAGAGGAACGGAAACACAAAAATAATAAATCAGATAGAAATCACATCCCTTTATCAGATTCCGATCCCTCTTGTGCAGTTGATGCAATCTTTGAATTTCCCTTCTCTCCTTCATTTCAAGAGTTAGATGCTGGCAACCTTAGGTTGACTTTTGATTACTAGCAACCTTAGGTTGACTTTCGATTACTAGAACCATATTTAACTTTTGATTACTATAACCGGAAGTATGGTATACACAATTTGAATCCCCCTAGCCCTTTTAAGGAGGTGGCATGAGAATTCTCATGACAAAGCAAAGGAGAGAGTTACATGAGACTTCCTTAAAACGGTGCTATTAATCTCTCTCTACAACCTCCTTTAAATAGATGGTTCCCCCTCTCCAAGATTCCCTTATTATGAAATGGGTCCTAACCTATCTATAAGTACATCCAAGATATGAATCAATCTCTCTAAAGATATTTCTAGATTTATAAATATCCAAATATATCCCTTCTAATCCCATTAGGATTATATATCTCTTAATCATCATCGTCAAGGGCTTTTCTCAACAGTCCCGTATCTCTTGATTAGTTGTGAAGATGTGAGATGTAAATGACAAAATGATTTCTTCTCTCGATAAATAATAATTCATCCAAAACAAAAACGGGGAAGAAAGCAATTTATTCGTTGTCCAGCAAATTATCAAATGATTAGGCTATTCTTTTGTTTGCATATGGTTATGGAAAAAGGTATGCTTTTCCTCTCTACATGATGTGAGAGAACCCGTATTTTGTTCTTTCTTTTTAATGCTAATCAAATGAAATTTATCGTTTATTAACTTCTTTTTTGTTGATGTGTTTATGGTTAAAAATGGTTTACTCGTTCCCTTGATGTTTCACTAGGTTGTTTTTTTCTTCACCATTAAAAAAAAAAAAGATTCAAAATGGTTTTCCCCCATATTTAGCTAAACAATTTGAAGGGATTGTTTATTGACTTCTGTTTAGTGGTTAATCAGGATGTCTGGAAGTAAAACATCTTTTGAGCTATCTTGGGCACCAAAAGTGAACCTTGTCCCCAATGGAACTAAAGAAACTCTGGAGAAGTCAAAATCTGATAAGGACCTCGTAGATGGACTATTTGTTCCACCTAGAGACCCAAAAAAGTTGAATAAGTTACTGCGAAAACAAGTGAAAGACACTGCTGGTCAAAAGTGGTATGTAGATGTAGTGTTTTTTACTGTTAAAGATGTGACATGGTTGAAAGTTTGGGTGTTCTCTTTCTCTCTTCCATCAGTCCTGATTTTCTCTACTACTATTCTGTTTCCTATTGTCTCCTCTTTCTTCTTGTTTTATTTGTTTTCTGTCTCCCGCTTCCACCTACTTTCTGTTGTATACTGTCCATTTCTGTGTTCTCAAAAAGCGCAATGCCGATGATCTTCTTCTCTATAGATCTAATTTTAGTTAATAAAGGAAATGGTTTCAGCTTTCTGATTGTCTATGTTGCATAGGTTTGACATGCCAGCAGCAGCTATTACTCCTGAATTAAAGAAAGATCTGCAGATAGTGAAGGTAAGCACTACTTTCTCTTCCTTTTTTTTTTCTCTTCACCAAATGTAGTTGACATTAGAATTGGTACATCTCAAGTTTGATTCCTGCCACTGAACTACCACTCAAAAAAAAAAGCGGACACGTGAATCATCATACTAATCAGTTGTTACTTACTTTGCTTGTGAGCACTGAGCAGTTGTAGTAAAATTAATTCATGTTTTACAAATGTGTGACTACATTTTAATACGCTTTAAATATTAGTAAGGATTTTTTGGGTAAAGCTAATATAAGAAGTTTTATATCTATTTGAAAAGTTATAGTATTTTTTATTGCCTTCTAACAGTTCTTGTTAATACCAGTTTAATCCTCCCAAAAAAAAAAATTGAACATAATCTTTTACAAAAATTGATGAATAATATTTGTTTATTTATTTTAATTTTTGTAAATATATGTTTATTTATTTATTTTAATTTTGTATAAATATATATCTTTATATCAATGTATTCATTAGTTTACATCTTGTGATACCTACACTGTGAAATCTGTTGTATATGTAAAAGATATAAAAACTCAATGCTAGAATTAAAAATCATACTTTTGAAATTTAAAGGTGCCAGTCTATGTTGCTTGCAGCTCCTCATTTTGAACTCCCGTGAGTTAGCACATGCTTCCCCATCAAAACGATAATCATATTCACATTTCCTTTAACGAAACAATGAATCTTATAGTCTTTTTCATCTGTAAAGAAAAAAAAGAAGAGCCCAATCAAAGTCTTATAAAGTTAATTTGATCTAGAACCAGGCTAAATACCAAACGAGACTGATATTTTTTAAACTTTGGTTGATAGAGTGTTGGGATTTGCACGGCGGATGGTGCCTTGTCTCTCTCCTTTGATGTGCTTAAGGAAAAAATTTATAATGGCGTTTGGAAACTCGACAAGTCCAATTCAGACTCACCTGAGCCACTCAGAACAGGCACCCTGCCGGTTCCGTATGACCCTGATCGAACCCAGTCTTGCCGAGTCTTTCCGAATCTTGATTGAGTCTATCCTGTCTTTAAAAACCTATGATTCTATTCTTGGTGTTCATGAGTCATGACCTGTTCAGACTTGGGACTCAGGAAGTTGACTCGGACCAATGCGCTGCCTGGTTTTTTTCCCGGTTTCAATTTTATTGAACACTAGTTAATAAAATGAAAAGCTATTCCCCAATTATGGAGGCTTGAGAAGAGATGGCATTCATCCGTTATGAGGATGCCAAGAGGGAGGCAGAATCACTTCATTTAAGGGCTGGGTTGTCTGCGTGATGAGCGAAGGCCAAAGAGGACAAAGCCTACAAAACCTCAACAAGTTTTTAGTTTCATAAAGGCATGTCACCCAAACATATGTTTTGAGAGGATTCCTTTGCATGGCAACTGGGTAATTGTACTATTCGTCCTTGAGGGGGTCTCTCTAGACTGGAGCATAAGCTGCATAGCAATTTACTGGGCTGAGTTGGGTTGATCTTTGTTTCACCAATCATGAGCCTGAACCACTTGAGGGATGGTCATATGTGTTTCTGAATCAATTGTGAATGAGCTCGGGGAACTTGATTCAAATACACTCCATGCTAGTTTGACATTTTATGCTAGTAAGAAAAGTTTACTTTTAATGAGTCGTCTTATTTTGGTTCAATTTAGGGATGTTGTCAAAACAAATTTATCTCGGGCTTTTATATTGAATATAATTTTTAAGACCTATATGATATTTTTACTATATGGTACAAGTTTTAAATGAATGAAAATTACAACTTGAGCTTTACATATTTTCTAAAGGGGTTAGAGCTATGGGTGCTTCAGTTAAGAAATTGGGTAGCATTCTCATTGAATAAGAAGTCTAGAGACAAAACAAGAAGCACACCAACTCATTTGATTTTTAGAAATATGTAGAAAATAAAATAAAATACATTTGGCTTGAGGATTAAGGGTTGAGGTGTACAGTAGTTTAACAGCTTCAAAAAAAAATAAGGAATGAGGTGTGTACAGGGCATGCTTGGATTAAGGAGGTGTAATCAAAGGGGAAATGGTGGATTTGGATTTCCCTCTATTCCGTCCCTCTTCCGATAATAGCCTCCAAGGAAGTGGAATCGATCTCACTACTTGGAACATTCGAGAGTAATTGATAGTGAAACTCCAGGTGTGACATGGGTCCCTAGGAGGATCTCCTAGTCAAGGTGGACCGCCATGTGGTTCCAATTAAGTAGGATTTGTTTTTATTATCTTTTGAGTAGTTTTCCAAATTGTGAGCATTATTTTTTTAATTATTTCTTATTTGCACTGGGTGTAGATAAAGTTTCTCTAGAACTGAAGCTCTTTCATAGTTGCCGGGGATTGAGATCGGGACCGTTGGATGAGAGATGCACGAAGATCTGTGGGGTGGGAATCGAGATCCATACAACATAAGTTAAAGGGATCGTGATCCCAATATAAAGGGAGCGCAATATGAATTTTGTGCTACAAATTTGTTCAAGATCAAATGGTAAAGTGTATGAGTCGAGGTCCCCCAACTTAGGATTGAAGCTCCCCAAGAGCACTTAACTAGGGTACTCTAGCTTGGAAATGAAGTTTGTTGAACAATATGATTTATGTTTTTTTTAGAGTTAAAAAAAGTATCATTATATGTAAAGAATCCCTTTTTTAAACCATTTTTTAATTTTTTATTATCATTGGAGGTGTTTCATAAGTGAAAAGTGAAACTGAAACACAAAATGAGGATACAAATTTCGGTCCTTAGGTATAAAAGAAGCTCAAGTCATTAGCATCATAACATTTTCCCAACTATTTGGGGTCGGCTATTTCATGGAAAGTTTTGGCAAAGTTTTACATTGGCTGCCTACCTAACGTGAGCCACCTCCTTTACTCGGGCTTGGGACGGGTTAAGGAAAATTTTAAAGTCCTCACCCTTCTTAGACCAGTAAAAGAAGCTCAAGTATTTGATGAAATTGTGGTGTCCTTGTTTCCCCTCATTTAGGTCCTTTCATTTATATACAATTGGGTATGCAACTAGCCAAATGCTCTCTAGAGGGGAGAAAAAAAGGTCTAGTGGCAATAAAAGTTTCAACCTGCAACGTTCTCTTTAATGGTGGGTGTGGTCAACGAGAGGGCATTAAAGACAAAGATGAGTTGTATAAAAGCTTATGGAGTTCATGATAAGTGAAATGAAAACGATTTAGAGTAGGACATTGCGAAGCTTTAGCTTTGCAGATACTCTCCTTCATCTACTGGTTCCATAACATAATATGGCAACGTGTTGTATGTAATGGTGTTTGTTTTTGTGATTTACAAGTTCATAGTTCAAACTTCAAGCTTCAAGACCCTGATTACCTTTGTGGGATTGGGACTACTTCACAACTTGTTGGTCTCTATAGTGAAAGCCAATTCAGATTTCAGAATTTTTAGAGAAATATGTTCTTGCAGAGAGAGAGAGAGAGAGAGAGAGGTGGGGGATGAGAGGGCTAATCTCCAGTACCAAGTAAACAAAACTCGATTCCACATTTGTGGAGGCTCGATTTCACTTACTCATGGTCCAATGATTTGTATGCAAGGGATATGGTTCCCATAAACCAAGGATCGAGATCCCCAGTTTTGTGGATTGGGATCCCTAAATTCAGAAAATGTCCAAAATCGAGATCCCTTGTCCCAAAGCGCAAAATCAAGCTTCCAGAACTGGAGCGACCACTTCCTAGGCTTTCCCGGTAACTGTGGTTCTTTGCTGTATGGACTAGAACAGTTAGAAATATATTCTAGTTTGATTAGCAATCTTTTTTAATTGTTTCAGACTTCAAGTATGGGTAGATTAGGAACCGCTATACATAGACTTACTGGCCATTGGTCATAGCAATCAATTTTGAAGTAATAAAATTTGAGTTCATTAAATCGTCCTGAGATGTCAGTCATCAACTCTTGTTGCAGGGAGAGCGATTTCTACAATTCTAGCTTAAGAATGGGAGAGTCCCCCCAACATGTGGCAATTTTAGAGCCTTTTTTTTTCTTTCCATTTTTTGTGGCGTTTCAAAATCTGAACTTCCCCCAAACCAAATTTGTCATCCTATTTGTACTCCCTCAAATCAACCCTTCCCAAGGCTAATCCACCTCATTCCCAAAACCATCCAACCCTAAATTAGCACTAATGTTGCTTCATTCCCTTCAAATTCATCATTAACCCTCTTTGGACCAGCAATTTTTCAGAAACCTCAACCCTCATCCCTCTAAAACCAACAATAGTTTTTTCCCCAGCCATGCCAAAGCCTTCTCCATCACTTAAGCCTCAATCCTGCCTTATTTGACCTCCAATTCCGATGTCCTATCTGAAGTAGAAGACTTTGATATCCTCAAAACTGTGTTACCCAAAAATTTTAGACCTCTTAAACCTCCTAGGACTCCTATTTCAACTAGGAATCCTAACCCAAGCAGTACTTCTGAAGTAGGATGCCCAGCTTGATTAGGACATTGATCCCAATTATTGCTCCTAACCCGATTATGACTTCTAATGGAACTCTAACTCACTTCTTCCATCTCCATAAAAACCCAAGAAAGGTTGATACACTCATATAGGGTCCATTTACATTGGCCCTACATCAGTAATGGCATTTTGTGAAGGAGAGGATTGGAACCTCAAGGCCTCTCTCAAGGCCTATAAGTAGATGTTCATACCATCTCTTAGAGAAAGTGTCCAAATAGTCTCAAATTGAGATAGAGAAGAGTGAAAGGTCTGTGTCTAGTGCTTAAAGGATGAAGTGCTCATGATCAGGGAGTGATTGGCTTGAGGTTCTCCATGTGGCTGCATTATTGAACAAGGGTTGATTATGCAGCTGGTCTCTTGCTTCCATCTTGTTAGACATGGTGCTCCATTTCTCTCTCCCTCCCTCCTCTCTCTCTCTCTCTCTCTCTCGTCGTC